ACAGACAACCTCTCGTCAATATGCGTTTTTTGCATTGCATTACTGCAAAAAACGCATAAAAACGCACAAAAATAAAAATTAAGCTGTTTTTAATGCATCCATCGGCGAGGCACAACAAGTGTTATCCTGACTTTGCCCTCTTACAATGCCAAAACGTGCTTTCCATTCATATAAATAATTCACTTTAACATTTCCGAAAAACCTCCACACCCTACACAGAAACTGTAAGATCAACTAAGCATCGACTATACAATGAGCTGTAGTTAAAATTTCAGTTGAAAAGACTTTTCCAAGACAGTGCAGTGTGAATAGTACTGTCGTTACTGGGCTCTTAACAGAATGATTAGATCCATTCAGGAATGGGACATTTTTCCAAACCAGCATTCGGGCTGAAACCCGCAGTTAAAACGAGTTCCCTTTTGACCTCTACCCAGCTGAAACAAACCAGTCAATTACAGCACAAAGCTTATTACGTACTACGTACGCGTGGTAGAACACACCGGTATTGAAGAGCGTTGAAGCACACATGCGCCGTAGCAAAGCGCGTTGTTTGTTGCGATCGTCAATACGAATTAAAACAAAACCTCTATCTCATGCACAATTTGAGCGAATCTACGCTTCTTCTTCAAGCACTCATCGAAAATTTTTGTTGCCAGCTTGTAATTGTTCGTGTATTCAGAGTACATTTTCAGAAAAGGAGCACGTTTTCGAAGCACGTCGCTGATTCTAAAAAAAAAAAAAATCCAAATCTCTGTGTCATTACGTTGTATTTCGACAGTCGCTTAGTAAAATTTATGGACTGCTTAAACCGCTTTTTACTGCAGGCCGGCCACGAGACGGACAGATGGGTGCGACTAACCATCTTTTGCGCCGCGAACTGTACAAATTGTGTGCGCAGAAGGCGAGAAAATTGCGAAGATTTCGCTAGGAAAGACAATTTCTCGTGGCTTTAGCTTAATCTTGAGCCCATCTGATTAAATTCCTCGTTTCTTTCACTTTAGTCATTTTGAGTCAGTTAAATTTGTTTCTTGAAACTGAGTTCCTAAATGGATGATTTTAACACCTAAGGAGTGGTCCTTTTTAAGCAAATCACTGGAACAACCAAGAGAAGTACCTGCGTGTGGTGTGCCAATCACGTGAGCGTTCCATTAATGCAGGGAGTAGATGTGTATTATGAAACTGATGCAAACTGGATATATTTGCAAATAAGTGAGTAATTTTATCTTTTTCGAGAATTTTTTCTTCAAACACTTTTTTCCGGAACGTCTGAAATACAAGCGACTGGATAACAAAACCGTGAAAAATGCACTGCTGAATAATTTTAGTGCACTTCCTCATGCAAATCTAAACAGACTAATCAGTTCCGAAGACCAAAGAAAAAGATAGTGAAGGAAACCTCACTTCATCAAGTAGTCGGAGTTTGTCGACATAGCGCTGTTCAGAATCGACTAATTCCTTTGCAGCAAGCCATGCTTTCTCGGTGCGTTTCTTGATCTTCTCTTTCACTGCTGGAACTCGATTCAGGCTGCCCCCAGAAATCACTACAGATTGCGTTTCCGGGATTTCTGAGATTTGTGACTGCGCATCCACTACAACATCGTCGCTCGCGTCATCCGCTTCTTCCTCCGAAAGATCTTCC